CTCTACGATTAATATTGGCGAAGTTACGATACAATAAATTTTTAAGTATAATTCTGGCTAAAATTATGTTAATTTTTGGCCGGAATTATGATATACAAATATAAGAAATTTTTTATATAGTCACATCTCTTTATAATCACCAAATATGGACTGTCCCAAATGTGTGACTATAAAGAGAGTTGACTGTAATTAGTTATTATAATATAATTAATAGTATACATACCACTTGAGATACGACAAATTCCTTAAACTTTTGCTTTGTACAACTGCCTTCCATAATATCTACAGCAATTATACCTTTTTTTGTTAATGCAGGTAAAATAGTATACCTTTTGCCTCGAATGAAAACCACCTTTTTTATTGCTTTTGAATTGATTTCAGAATAGCCATAAAAACGTGTTGAAGTACGTTCATCTTTCGATGATTCATCCATAAATACCAATTGATCGATTCTATAGCGACCTATAGATGCAATAAATGCACCTCTTAGCAATTCATTTCTTTCTGAAGCAGCTTTATGTAACTATATAATAATGAATTGAATAATTATTATTTTCTTGCTAATTTTTTTTTAAAAAAAACTAAAATTTATCTTTTTACATATAATACTATACCTTTTTACGTGTAATACCACAATAAGCCAATGATCTCCATAGAGTTGAAACAGAAACACGTTTTCCAGTTCGTGCCTGCATTTCTTTAATATATTCATCAAGATAATAATCAACATGTTCATGAACAATATCACGCAACACCTAATATTCACAAATTATAATATAAGTTTGACTATCAAACAAGTATTTGGTCTAATTTACAATTTCAAATTATACTTACATTCATATCACTTCTACTAAAAACTTTTTTTCTTCCTGGTGTAAGTTTCCACTGATTTACTACACAACCCCACTTTGCATATATATGAATAACTTTCTTAACTAACGTTTCTCCAATATAAAGTAGATTAGCTATTTGTCTTTTTGAATATCCATCATTATGTAGAAGTATAATGCGCCATTTGAGATCCTCAGCTAAAGTTTTAGCCATAATAACCAATAAAAAAATATTTAGAAGAAAATCTTCAAGAAACAAATAACTTTATAGTTTGAAAATCAGTAAATATTTGGTAAGTAATATACTTGAAACTTAGTAGACGCGTATTTTACTGTAGAAGCTTTGTGAAATCACTAAGAAAGTATTAGAAATCAGAGATGGCAAAAAAATTTATTAGAAGGGTTCGTTTAAAAATCGCGAAAATCGGGAAATCTAATTAGATTTTCACATAGTTACACGATCAGGATGGGCGCACTAATTTGAAAAGAGCGATAAATGTACTGGTAATTGTATCTATAGATTTTGTAAATTTTCTAATTTCATTTTGCGAATAAGAAGAAAATTCCTTAATCTCATTTTTAGAAAAAATAAGCAGCTCGTCGATTTCTTTCTTTGTTTCTCCGACACTGTTCTGTAGTTTTTGATGCTCTAATAAAGTATTACTCGCTATTTCTTCAATTCCAAATAATTTCTAACAATTTAATATTTAAAATATTATTAACATATTTAAGAAAACCTAAATTTATTATAATTTTTACCTCTATGACGATATTTAACGTATTTTTGTTTGAAATCGACAAATCTTCCATTATAGCCTTTAAATGGACAAAAAAATTAACAAAAAAATAAATAATAATTAATAAATAAATAAAATACTGACTAAATTTTTATTAATAGAATTTATATATTTATTCTTATTGTTATTCAATTCTTCAAATATTTTATCAACATGTGGTACAACATTATTGAGATTCTATAAATAGATAAATGCTTTATTAATTTGTTATCTGTTATTCTTATCCATTTTTTATAAAATAATAAATACCTCGTTAAGAGTTGTTACATGTATCGATGTTTCCTTAATTTTATTTTGAAACTTTTTAATTGTCTCCTGAAACATTTCCATTTCACTTGAAATTAATGCTGATTTTGTTTTTATAGTTTCAACATCGTTAACCAATTCATTCAATGAATTAGTTATTCGAGGTAAACGTTCTTTTTCTTCATCTCGTAAGGAAGTTATCAAAACACTTAAATCACTTATAATATTACTATAAGTATGTGTAATGTTTTTACTAAATTGTGATAATAGGTCTGACAAATTAATTAGTTAAAAAAAAATCCATAAATAAATGTTATGAAAAATTGCAATTAAAATTATACCTATTTCAATCGAATATCTTATACTAAAACACATTTGCACTAATAATATAATCGTTATTATAAGTTTTTTAAATGTTCTTTTTAAACTTAGATACGATCAAATGTATACTGTTTATAATACTTTACCAACTTCACAATAAAATCCATCATAAGTTGTCCAAAATTGTGATACTTTTCCAAGTGCGACAACACATTCGCTAGAATAATCATTCATATATTTACAATCTCTTGGTATTTTAAATTTTGCAATTTCAAGTTGGCACAAAGTCAACCGAATTGTGACTATACAACGATAAATGTAAATTATAATGCTCGCATTTGATTTAAAAAATCTATCAAATATACTTGCATTTTATTTTTTCTTTATCCAATCTATTTTCCAATTGCGTGCATTTATTTCTAATTTCTACAGTGGCTTCTTTAAAACAGTCATTTTTATTTTCATATTGAACTAACATTCCTATAATAATAGCGAATCAATAGTAAATAATTTATGTTAAAACATATATTATTAAGTTATGTAATATTGAATACAACCTTGACCATGATCTACCATCATTCTTTCTTTGGAATTGTCATTCTTAACATTAAAATAACTCCATAAGTTAACGTTAAAAGAATTTACGAAAACAAAATTACAAATAAATGTAATAAAAAAAAAGAATAAAATAACAGATTTCATTTGATTCGATTTTATTACGAAATTTATTTTTTTATCTTTTAAAATTGAAGGGAAAACCTTTTTAAATAAGAAATTTTTCTACATGAGATTGAAAATCATCGATTAAAATTTTGAAAATTTTGGAAACTTTGCATATGTTTAAAAATAAGGAGACATTGGAAACTTTGGAAATTATGGAAACTTTAGAAATTTTGGAAATTTTGGAAACCTTGCATATATTTAAAATATGGAAACTTTGGAAACTTTGGAAACCTTGCATGTGTTTAAAATATGGGAAACTTGGAAACCTTGCATGTGTTTAAAATAAGGAAATTTTGCAAACTTCGGAAACCTTGCATATGTTTATGTGCAGCAGATTTATGATTTAAAAGCAGAAAATAACTAAATTTTAATTTTATTAAAGATGAAAGAACAAAAAAACCTGCGAAATTTGCTTAAACAAGAATTATTAAGCAAAATCAGTGGGAGAGTTACTCCAAATGAAATAAAAAAAAAGAAGGCAAATAATCGTAAATTAAATATCACAATTCTTAATCAAATAAAATATTTTAGAAATCTCAAAAAAAATCATGAAATTCAGGAAGTTCAGGAAGGAATTGGGCATGTCGAAAATCAGGAAGTACCTGGGCGAGAAAATGAAGCTCAGGAAGGAATTGGGCACGTCGTCGTAAATCAGGAGGTACTTAGACGCGTAAACGAAAAACAAGGACTTGGGCGCGTAAACAAAACTCAGAAAGGACTTGGGCTCGTAATCGAAAATCAGGAAGAATTTGTGACCGTAAATGAAAATCATGAAAAACCTGATCACGTAAATGAAAATCTGATAGGAATTGGGCGCGTAAACAAAACTCAGAAAGGACTTTGGCTCGTAAATGAAAATCATGAAGGACTTAGATGCGTAAATGAAGATCAGGAAAGTCATCGAGAGTGCAAAGTAAAAGGATAGACAATCAATAAAAGTAAGTTTATTTTGGACTTTTTATTTAAAATTATATATTTTAATAATACCTTTATTTTATTTTTTTAAAGCGAAAATGAATTCTCAAAGATATAAGAAAGAGATGATAAGCGAGTTTGAGAGAATTGTTATCGATAATAGTTCAAACAACGATAAATTTATTAATATTTTGGGTATTATTATGTTATTTTTTTTAAAAAACCTAAGAATTCTTATTTTTAATTAACATCAATGTTAATCTATAATTTAGAAAATGAGGATATACAAATCAAGGAAGCTTTTAATGGAACTAAGAATAAGGATTACAGAAAATGGTTTTATATGTTAAAGTTTTTAAAATTAACTAAAAATAAGAATAACAGTGAAGTTGGAAATATTTTAGGAATAAAAAGCGCAAATATTAGAAAACAGATGGATTGTTTCAAGAAAGTTGAATGTTACTTGTCATATCTCCGAAGATGTAATAAGAATTACAACAGTTTAAAACTACAAATTGTTTATTTTCAAAAAATTCTTAATGATGATTGGAATGAAGTATTAATCAATTTAAATAGAGTAATACAAAATAATATGATCAATTAATACTGGTTTGCTGATTTGAATAAACTGATAAAATTGACATACGATTAATTCAAGACAAACTTACGTAAATGATGACATTAACAGCATCTTTTTTATTTTGTAAATAGAAATAATGAAAAAAAATTCTGCAATATAATAAATTCTATATTTATTTAAAATTTTCTAATTTCTCAAGCTGGGGAGTACGCGTTAATAACAAAAAATAACGCAGTATTTAGAATAGTATTTATAACTACCAATTAAAGTAAAGAGAATAAACGAAGATTGTGTGCGCAAAAATAATTGTAAGGAAAAAAAATAGGAATAAAACGGTGTAGTATAAAAAATGAATTACTATTACTCTTGAATACGAAACAAAATGGGTGGGCATGACTTGCCGTTAACACCTTATTCGATCCCAATGATTTTAATAAAGTCACGTGATAGAGCACGTCTGGGTTGGTAGCTTCCAAAGTTTCTATAAGTTTCCAAAGTTTCCAAAGTCTCCAAAGTTTCCAAAGTTTCCAAAGTCTCCAAAAGTTCCAAAGGTTCCAAAGTTTCCAAAGTTTCCAAAGTTTCCAAAGTTTTCCAAAGTTTGAAGTTTCCAAAGTTTCCATAAGTATTCGAAGGTTCCAAAGGTTCCAAAGTTTCCATAAGTATTCGAAGGTTCCAAAGGTTCCAAAATTTCCAAAGGTTCCAAAGTTTCCATAAGTATTCGAAGGTTCCAAAGGTTCCAAAGGTTCCAAAGGTTCCATAAGTATTTGAAGGTTCCAAAGTTTCCAAAGTTTCAAAAGTTTCCAAAGTTTCCATAAGTATACGAAGTTTTGGTGTAACAATATTTAGAAATCGTGATCTTAATGATTAAATTATTTCGTTGAGAATTAGAAAATGTCAAATACACTTGGCTTTTATTCTTCGTTCAAGTATTGAGTTATTAAAATATTTGAAACCAAGATGCAAGTTTTTATTATTCAGACTATGGCAGAATGACACTTTTAATTTCTTCACAAGTGATATGGTAAATCTGACGATGGGTTATAAAAGAATGATATTTTAAATTGATCATTTGAATGTATTTATAATTGATGATTTTGATTAAACTTAAACTAAATCGTTTATTAAAATATATTTCACTTCGATTTATAATCAATTTATAAATTTATTAATAAATTCTAATATATTCATAAATCCATTTTTTTCAAGTTTCAAATATGTAATTTGATTTTCTTCGCAAAATTTTAATGCATCACTTTTTATACCTACACTCGAAATTGCAAATAACAAATCAACATTTTCTTGGTCTTTCATTATTTTTGTAATTTTTGTCATATCTTGAAATTTGATCATTAGTCCAGGAGTTGTACAAAGTATGATAAATATTTTGTTTCTTAATACTCCTAATTTATGATTATTAATAATTATATTCAGAATTATAGATACATTATCTAAACATTTTATAATACCGTACCTTTTAATAAATGAAAAAATTCATTGCTATTTTCTTGAAATGGCATTCCATATTCTGGTGAAATAAATTGATTTGATATCATCATATAATCTAAAATTTTTTTGAGTTGAATAATGTTGGAATTCATTTGACCTGTACAAGTTAATAAGCAAAAATCATCATCCGACTCTTCGTTATAACTAAATGTTGCTCTTACAAATTTTTTGCGGGGCATCTATAAATTAAAAAGGATGGTTAGCTTTTGCTAAGTACTCTACTTCAAAATTTTGTCCCGCCATCTGATAAGGTGACGTGAGACAGTATCCTTCTAAAGTATCAAGTTTCATAACGAAGCAATCCGGATCTTCTTTCTATCACATGTCAAATGATCAAAAATAGGCAAAAAAAATGGCGCAAATCGCATAAACTATTCGCAAATTTGTATAAACTATTTACAAATAGTATAGGTTAATTCGTAAATAGCCAAAAACAGCCAAGAATAGCTAAGATTAGCCAAGAATAGCCACTGCTTTTCGCGCCATTTTTTTTGCCAATTTTTAGCATTTCGACCTGTGTATATATTAGTGTCGATGTTTTCACCGCTTGGCCCTGAAAACTGCACAATAAAAGGTAAAGTCACGAGTATCTGTTTAAAAGAACTTTCAAAAACACAACATTAGGTTATTGCGTCCTTTCGCTGACATCTCTTCTTAGACACTGAGAAGATCTTATTCGTATCTCAGCCAGGTCCGTCAGTTAACAGAGTTATCATAGTAAGACCTGCCAGCTCACAAGGTTGCTGTAACTTCCTTGATCATTGCATCCACTTGTTCACCTACATCAGAAACAAGGGTAATGCAGGACCCCGGAAACTTATATTTGATGTGACCGGCAAAAATGGGCCAATTTTATCATTTTTTTACTCAGCATTTTGACTATTAACTTTACCTAGTTACTAATAGAAACATTTTCATTACCTATAAATTTTACCCTTTTATTAGCCGGTAACATTAAATATAAAAATCATTTTTTATTAATAGGTCAGTATTGCATTTATTTACAAATTTGATATTATTTATCTGTTATTGATTAGTTAATCGTTACAATTTATATCTCTGTTATCAAAAATAGAAGCTAAATGCAATTGTGTTTCTTCCTTTTTAAAAAAAGAATAAATTTCTAACGAATTATCATCAAGTGTAAGGAGAGAATTTGAATGTAATATAAAAGGAACATTCTCTCCAAAATAATAAACAATATCTTTAGATTTTAAATGCGCATATAATCTACCCCCCGCTATGCATTCATTTGAAAATAATGAATCTCCATATATGTTAATGAATAATGAAACTGAAATATAAGATAATAAATCAATATTATCAATAGTTCCTGTTACGAAACTATGTTTTCCACCTATCATTTGATACATCGCAATAACTTTTGCTATACATAATCTTCCATCGGTAAATACAAGCAAATAGCCATCTTTTTTTAATGGATGAGCCTGAGAAACATTAGCACAACCTATATTTGTTACTATAATAAATAAATGTAAACATGAAGTTATTTAATATTAAAAGTAAATAAAGTAAAATTAAAAATTAAATATTTTTACCTTGCATTTTATTAGAATTAACGAGTGACTGTAGCTGATTACGACCTTTCCAACGTTGTGTTCTGCTTCTCATAATTTGATGATCTTGATTATTGCTTAATTGATTTACCAAATGATTAGCCAAGTTTCGGTCAATTTTATCCTGAGATTCTTGATTTAAATTAACACTTATTCGAGTTTGTATTCCACGAGGATGATCAGAACGAGAAAAAGCCTCATGAGATCTTCGCAATTCCAACATTAAAAATATATCACAACTTCCTTCCTTTTCAAATATTTTCTCTTCAGGTTCATGATTTAACTCCTGTAAAACAGTAGTTTTTGGATTATTAATTATGTAATTAATTTCTGTTTTCATTATAAAATTATCAGCATCAGCAGTATTAATTTCTAACAAATCTTCTGAATATTCATGACGTGAATTATCTGAAATATCATTGTTTTCAAAATAGTCATCGAAAACATTTTCCAGTTGCGAAATTCTATTCAATTCATCTGCAACTTGATCAATAGTTATATTTTGAGGTACTACTTCATTGGTCAATAGATTATTTGTATTAGTTTCAGAGAGTTCAGGAATTAAAGGATCGGTATAGCTAGTATTTTTTGATTGCTTTTTCATTTGAAGAAAATTTGAAAATTCCTTTGCATTTTCAGATGCAATTCTTATAGCATCATTTATATCATCATCTGATGGCCAACTTCGCAAAATTTCAATATTAATATCCGAAATACAAGTATCAAAATCAAAAATATAACCTATAATTAATAAATAAAATATAAATATTCAATAATATATAAACATAAAATTAAAATTATATAATTTTACCTGCTGCAGATTTTTTTTCTTGAATATCCGATATGTTTTCACTGCGTAAAATATTATCCCTATGCTGTACCCGGCTTATTACTTTATATAGTTCATAATAAGTAAAATCCGGTATTAATTGTCTAGCAATTCCAAATAAATGCTCAAGCGCTTCTGTACCATATTCCCAATGAAAAAAAGGATAATTTGAATAATAATTCCTATGGGCCAAAATAAGTAAAACTAAAGATTCTGCTAAACTACAAAATATATTAAAGCTTTGTGGTGAAATACAACTTTTGTTCATGTTATACCACTTTGCTGAATGTAATATGGCGCATTGTTCAATATAATTTTTCCATGTGCTTAAAAAGAAATATGCACGCATTGCCATTATAATCCTAGTTTTATGAGAAATATCTCTATTTAAAAATGAATCAAACAGTTCGCCTATTTTAAATTCAAATTTTAGATTAATTAATATATAATTTTATGTACTAGTATTTACAATAAAAGATAAAGAAATTGGTTAATTACCAAATATAAAAAGATATACGAATAAAGCTGCTTTATCATGATCCAGATGCCCATTATTTTGACATTGTGCCAAAAATGTTGAACAAAAAACCCTATACGCAGCCCCATCGTCTTTTTTATCCACATTTATAACATCTCGCATATATAACGCAGAATTTTCTTCTTGTGCAAGTTGATATATTTGGTCATATCGCACAGTATGATTTCCTAGAACTAAAAAACGAGCTCCACTATGTATTGCGTTTCTTCCATTCTTTTTGGCATGCTTCGGATCCTGGATACGAATTATAGGTTTTCCAGAATAAATAGGAGCTCGAAAATGTACATTATAAATTTCATTATCATATGTAAGAAATTCTTGCGTATCGTTGCCTTGCATAAGTATAACTTGTGCATTATATTCTGTAATTGCGCCGTCTGCGCCAATACTAATTAGGTTAATGTTTGCTTGAATTGACATATCAACAATTTTCTTTAAAATTGCATAAATTTCTTGAGTTTTGGAATCACCCTTTGTCGGTAATAATGCGATGACAACTGGAGGAATCCTGCTGATAGGAATCTATTAAAAAATATTATTAATTTAAACTATTTAAATTTATAATTTATAATTA